GGGGGGGGGGTGGCGAAGGGGACAGGGGAGCCGGATCTCACCAGACCTCCTGGACAGGCTCCCTGCCACTGTAGAGAGGGGCAGACAATGGATAAGAACTGCCTGAGCAGTGGAGAACACGTCACACACTAAAACACACTTCCTGCTGAAGATGTGCGTCTAAAATCTAGAAAATCGAAGATTGCTACAATGGTGAGATGGCTGCATTGCTACACTGGCGATTCCAGACTTCTGTGTTTTGAATCCATGGCTGAAATAAGATTTTTATAGTAAGATTAATATAGTACAGATTATTGAACACAGCTTTGTCTGCAGTCCAGACCACACTGGATGAGCAACTAGACGTCCAATTGAATCCTCTCAGTGATTAAATTGATTAGGGCTGACCCCGAATAGTCGACTACTCGATCTAAGGAGCCTGATTCCACCGTTAATCTGTCAGTCCGATCAGCAGTGGGGGAAAATGTGGTCGTGAAACAAAAGATCATTCCAGAATGATCTCGTTCTGCACACCTCAAATCACCAAACTATATCCGGATACTTTGAATGGTCAAAGTTGTTCAGTGTGGCCCAGTTATGTCTGGGCTCATCAGTGTAGGACGGCAGCTTTATCCAAAAACAATCAATCTAATCTATTTCAATTCTATCTACGCGGACACCATCACGATGTCATCTGGGTTATCTCAGCTTGAGCTTGAGTCAATTTATAATAGAAAACCTGCATTTCAAACTGCAGGTGTGGAGTTAGAAAGCTATGGGTGTTCACCAGGCAGGGAGGGTGTAATAAAGATAATCAAGTTGCATTATGGGGGATGTAGAACTCAGCGTTTTTGGACTCATACCAGCGCCTAAAAGTCAGAATATCTCAACTTCTGCCGCTTAGATTTGGACCATTTTTTAAGTTTGTCGCTCACATTTCTCCCAACTTTGTGGAAATGCAATACTAAATCACTGCTGTGGCCCGTTAATGAGAGAGCAGAAAGGACACACTTGGTACTAAAAATGCATCTTGGACCTAATCATAGTGGAGATTTAAAACATATTAAGGACACGTTTGATTGTCTTAACCATGTTTACTGTCATAAGTAATTATTACAGAGCAGGCTGGACAATAAACTGAAACACAATCTGTGACATGTATGTGGAGAGGAAGTAAAATCCCACTCACGGTCACCGACGATGAATTGAAGATGTATTAAGATGCGGAGTGTGAACTGAAAACTGCCTCAGCCTAATCTACACTAGTCTGGATGTATCGGGACACATAAACTCAGTCTGAACCGAAGAGGGGCGAGCTTAAACAGAGGAAACGTCTCTTTAAGCCTCAACGGGACAGACAGGAGAGGTCAATGACAGGGATAGTGACTGAAGGTTTGAGCTTCTGCAGCTTGATAACCCTCAGTACATACCTGCAGTGATGCCTCCTGGCGGCGAGCCAGAACCTGCTCTCACAGCCGTAACACTGGGCTGCCAAATGGTCGGGGTACCAGCGAGTCACCTGTAATGTACAGACTAATCTCAGTTCACAGCTCCCATCGACCATCATCAAGTGTCAAGAGATCTGAAGTCCATAAATGCGAGCTACTTCCCTCCCTGAAATGATCTTGGCCTGGCTGCTCACCTCATTGTCCTGCTTGTCCACCTGCTCCCAGCTGGCCTCGGAGAAAAGCTCTGTGCTGCAGCGCGACAAACAGTTGGGGTCCAGGTTGTACTCAGAGTCTGTCATTGAGGTCTGCATGGAGGGAGACACAGACAATCAGAAGGAGTTCATCATGCTCAAGTTACAGCTTAAAATGTAACCATCCAGATCGGCTGGTTGGTCAGGTTCATGGCCGGCCTGTCAGCATCTTACCACTTCGTCTCCCATGTCTCCGTTGATCCGGTGGGAGCCGGCGTGCTGCTGATTCTCCAGGCGGCTCCACAGTTCCTGCACCTGCTTCTTCAGAGTCTCCACCTCCATCTGGTGTCCCGCCTCGATCTGCCTCAGCCTCTGCTGGATGATGTCCGTGTGCATGGTCAGCCCGTCGTCGTCAAGGTGGCTGCGGGACGGCTGCTCCGGGCTGATGGCGGCCCGGCCCAGCAGGGCGTGGCACCAGCGGTGCTGGGAGCAGCTTCCGCGTGGATGGAGGATCAGGGAGTTGCAGCTCGCTAGGGACACCTGTCGACTCAGAGGAACCCTTTCCACGTTCCCTTTGGCCCAGTGATGTCCTCCACAGGGCTCCCCGTCGGAGCTGTCGCCGTTACAAATCCCCTCCCTGCTGGGGTCAGCACTCACAGACTGAAAGGCACTGACCGAGGGTCGCTTGCAGCCCCCGTTTAAAGTTCTGATAAAGCCATGCTCGCCTGCCTCCAGACCTTTCTCCTTCCTGGAGCAGGGCGGTTGGTTCCTGCCGTCACTGCAGGGCTGACGGGCCGGACAGACGGGTGGCTGTGCTGGTGGCTCCATCCTGCCGCAGGCCTCTTCAGTTAAAGTCTCTGTGGAGCTTTCCATCAGGGAGGCCCTCTTATCCACCTGCTCCACTGGCACGGAGTCACCGTGGTCAGATTCAGAGTCAGGGCAGGTCTCCTCATCCACATCAGGCTCTGGCTCTTCAGGCGACCGGTCCACAAAGCCGTTAGTTATAGTTCTATGGGCTGCAGGCTCCTCCGACTCATCTGAGCCGGACTCACTGGGTCCATGTGCAAGCTCCTCTTGCACAGAAGAGTTCTCTACATCCTGCTTCTCCAGATCCTCTGGGGCCTGAGTCACCTCAGCTGCTTGTTGATCGAGCTCCTCTGCCATCTGTGTGGGCAGAGGGGGAGACACACCCTCCTCATTGGCCTCCATTATACCATTTACTGGATGGTGACCATTAGCAAGCGCTGCTCTCTGTATCTCAGTCCCGTTGACCTCAGCACACTGATCCTCCTCTTCAACTTTTGCTACTTCCTCTGACTCCGTGTTAACGGTGTCAGTGACATGTGTGACAGCGGCACTTCCCTCTCTCTGAACATCTGCTCCCGCCTCCTCCTTAGTGGCTTCCTGAAGGATGTTCTCCATTTGGCCCTCCGCCACGCCCACCGCCACAGAGAGCTCCGCCTCCTTTGCTTCCTCTCCCGTTGCTGCTGTGCTCACAGAGGCTTCCTGTCCGAGCTCAGCGTGCGAGCCCCGGGGCTGCGGGCTGTCCTCCAATTCAGAGTCCACTCCGTCTGGGTAAGGCCCCACTCCATTAGGCCACACCTCCTGGTCCGGGTTGCCCCCTCCCTCGGGCCCCACTGCCATGTTGAGCTCCAGAGATCGCCGGTGGTCTTGCCACTTCTCATTGAGGCTCGGGTCACTGGAGCGGCGGTTAGGAGCCAGAGAGCTTCCCAGCTCACATGCACTGGGCAAGTTGTCGAACGAACGAGTCTTCGTACGTCTGAAGGGCAAACAAAAGAAGAATTATGCTCAGGAAACAACATGTCATTACATAATAATGAGTCAGTGTGTCTATGACGAATCTGCAGCTGCACACACAAGCATTACAAAATGTTTAGTCGACAAACAAATCACGTCAGTCTCATCAAAAAGAAAAATGCATTCAGACCTAGTATCTTTAACTTAGAGCTAGCTAGCCATCATAAATTATGCCATCATTGAAATGAATCAACTTCCTGCTGCTCTTCCTCGATGGTATGACTGTCATGAGACACGAGATAAGTATAGCGTAAAACTGTATCTGTGACTGGGAGGGCCCGAGCAGAGCAAAGTATCTAAGTGGAGTTGAAACGCCCGGCCTGTCTGGATGCGGGAGTCCTCGACCTGTGTTTATCTTACATGAGGGAGGAAGAGAGGGGGGGGTCGGATGCCAGCGTGCCAGGCTCACCTGCCCAGGGGTGCATCCTCAGGGTTGCCACCAGGCACCGGGTAGGGGGCGCAGGAGTCATCTGAGGGGGTGGTGGGGGAGGAGCTGGGCAGGTAGACCGCCGTCCACAGCATCAGGTTGCGTACGTGACACACTGGGTGGAGAACCTGCAACAACAGCTGCAAACTTAGCTCGGTGTCATCAGAAGAGAGAAGGGAAATGACAAATAATAGCAAAATAGCACAAAAACAACAGTAACCATAAGAATCAAAATCTCACAGGTCAAAACAATTAGTGAGAAATCCAAAGAGACATTATGACATGCATGGCTCTGGGGCTCATCTTTCCCACAATGCATTAGAAGACCTTGCTGTCTGAACTTGCAGGATTTGGAAAAGCCTCTTTGTTTTTGTTTTCAATTCCACTGAGACATTTTCTTTAACGTCATTAACTTAAGTTCCTTGTTTGTCTTCAAACCAGAACTAGCAGTAGCCACTTCCTAAAGGACTCAAGGCTCAACACTTAGTGATAGACAGAGGACGTACTGTCTCGGAGTGGGAGGAGTACAGCATGTTCCTCAGTGTGCGGTTTGCCGGTCTCAGCAGGGACCAGACGGAGCAGGTCCGCTCCTGAACGTGGCGGTCCTCCCTCTCCTTGCCGCTGTTACACAGGAAGGTGCCGAACAGACAGGAGTAGGTGTGCTGCACCATTTTCACCTGCATACACACACACACACACAAACACAAACAAACTGACATGTAGCGGCTTGTATACACACTTCAGGTATGATAATAAGAGCCGAGATGCCGGGAGCTTCCTAATACGACTTAAGAACACACCAGACTGGAACTGCATCAGTCGCTCACAATCAGAAAGTGACATGAATACACTTGAAACAGAGGCACTGCTGCACGTGACAGCATTCTGAAGCATCTAACCTCAGGATTCTGTCAGACTTCACTAGTTCTGTTTGACATCAGACACCAAACTTTTACGCACCAGGAAGGCCTCATTAAACTCAAAGGAGCATGGGAACTGCCTCTGCAGCTGGTGAACACAGTCCAGCCACTGCAGGAAGACGGGGCAGCGCTCGTTCAGGTCCTCAGAGTTTTCCCCATGGCCGCAGCGGTCGGCAAACTTGTGGCCGAAGTCAAGCCAATCAGTCTCCACCAAAACCTGGAAGCCCTGCACAAAGACGTCACAAGAAACGGTAGTGTGACACTTTTAGACCAATCACACAGACAGTTTTCTTTTTCACATAAAAACAACAAATGCTCATAAAAGTGAACAATTCTATCCTAGAAGCATTGGAAATATCACATTTATTACATATCGTATGTCAATGTTAGGAGAGTTTACATGGGAACATACCCCCAAAACTAAAATAAAAAATGCTAACAAAGGTCACAAGGGTCCGTGACGGAACTGAAAGAAGAAGAGTCTTCAGTACCTCAATAGTGCGATAGTAAGGGTCCAGCAGCACTTTGGACAAAGCAACAATCTGAGGGGTGCGGTCCCAGCCATCAGAGCAGTGCACCAGAACGGGCCGGTGGTCTCTGTCCACAGCGTTGACCACCAGCAGCGCCGCCTTCAGCAGCAGCGACAGGTGCTGCAGCCACTTGGTGCTCTCCAGTGCAGAAAGCCAGCTGCAGGCACACAAACATCAAACAAGCAAACACATCAGAGGACCTCACACGCCTCAGACACATGCGTTATAAGGACGAGTACATAGCATGGGCTAGTGCCACATACCACAGCATTTACAGCTACATCTAGTTAGCAGCAACATCCCTGACTTTGTATAGCTGAGAGCGCAACCATGATGTAAATGTGTTAGGTAATTTCACTTTCTTAATATTTTCCATCTTAGAAAACAAAGTGTTAACTGATGCAACGTAAAATGGTCCTATGTTGTCCTGATGTAAGCCTGTATTTACATAATGCGTACATATGCACTTATTGTTTTTAAATAACTTTTTTTGGCCAGTTGGGGGAAGCAGAAACAAGCTGCGAACAAACAACATATCAACACTTATTAAGTTGAAAGGTCACACGTGTAAGCAAACATTAATATAATATATCTGACACGTCTGCTAAGTGCTTAACTGTGTTCACCAGCTAGCTGCTAAAGTCCACTGTACACTTCCTGCTCAGCACCAAACGACAGATGGTCATATTCCAAAATATTGCATGACCAGTGGGCGACATGCATACACCTTGACCTACTTACACCTTGACCTACTTACATTATGAGTAAATGTTTCACTTGCCTTATCTTATCTGGGTCATTATGTGTGTTTTGTATCGTCTATAAACACAGGGCGTATGTAAAAGAGACAGATAAGCCTGTAAGTCTACAACTTAGTTCTATCACGCTTTGTAAACTAGCCAGGGGCGTCTCACATGGGGCTTGGCCGGACATACCCCAAAAAATCCAAATGAATGTATCTTTACACGACGGAGGGTAAAATGGAGCAATCAGGCTCAGGATAACCCGGTTGTGATGGATGGATGGATGCTTTGTAAACTGATACAACAATAAGAAAAACTTGTGTAACCTGCTGTTTTTATGCATAAACACCATTAAATGTGCAAAAGGCACTACGAGTAATACTCAAATAAAGAAAGTACAAAGTACATGTACTGTATGTTTGTGTAAAAAAACGCTGGATTAGGATCTAGAGTTGGGGGGATTTTTGTCCTCTGATTGGATCTCTTAAATCTCTTTCAACAACGTCCTCTTAAGCCAGAGTGATTCAGTTATATCACTGTAGCATTGAGTCTGGGAGTGCAGGCAGAAAGAGATCTTCCACTTGGGGTTGGGCCCGGCTTTCTAAATCAGGCCCAGATGTATCGCCAAGGCCAGCTGTGATTACTAGTTACTGACAGTTACAGCAAAGTTTGGAGTTTAATAGTTTTAGCCTGCAGAGCTTTAAAGTTGCGACTATAGGAAGTCAGATGCACTCCTGGAGGCGGAAAGAAACGTACTTGGCTGGATCAGGCATCTGAGTGCAGAGGAAACGCAGAGACTGGAAACTCTTGCGGATGGAGTGGATGTTGGCCATGCCCATAAACACCACCTCACAGTTGGGATAGTACTCTGGAACAGGAGGAAAACAATGGTTAAAGAAAAGAAAGAAAACTAAAGCTGGAGGAGCTTTTCATTTCAGCACACAGAACAATCACATTTGCTGTGAACTGAGCTCCTGAATCCACAGCATCCATTGACCTAAGTCTGCTTGTAACCGGGGACTGAGCCGAGAAGACCTACCTGGGCATTCACAGCCTCCCCCTTTGGCCCTGTTAGCTACGGCAGCAGCGTAGGACCTGGCGTCCAGGATCAGTAACTTGTGGGGCTGTGTGGCCAAAGTCTCCACCTCTGAGCTGTTGGTCATGGAGGATTCTGATATGGACATCAAGCACAGCAAACTGATCTCTCAGTACAGGTTGTATGAATGCAGGGCTTCATTATCACAATCAAGAAGTGCAGAAGACATGAATAAGTCTCATCCAGGCACAACCATCAGAATCTAAACAGTTAAGTGTGAGTTTGTTTACATCTGCTGCTTCAGACCAGCCCCAACAGGCCGCATTGCACAACAGCATCTGCTGTTCATGCAGACAGCAAGATATTGTGGTAACATCCATCTGTAGGTGGTGGTAGGGGTGTGTGTGTGTGTGTGTCAGTCAGTGAGAGGGCGAGTGAGGCTGACTGAGTGTGAGCCTCTCACCAAAGTCGGTGTCGGGCAGGTCAGTGCCGTTGGTGTAGCCGCCGTTAGACAGGTGTTTGCGGGAGCTTCCGTCCACGGCACAGGCCTTGGCGATGGACTGGACCAGGTGCTCGTCATCAGCGTTCCTCCAGCCCCACCAGCTGACCTCTGGCTGACCGCAGCGGGCGATCACAGCTCCGGTGGTCTGGTGCCTGTGTGTGGAGGGGACCGGGGAGAAGTTAGCCAAAACACAAGAGAAACGAAGAGAAGACTATGGTGGTTTATTTCACCTGGGAACTAATCTTATTTACAGGAAGAAAATACTATTTGCTGCTACAGTATGTGGGTTATGACATCATTTACCATCTATCCATTTCTCTTGCCAAGACAAAAAAGGTGGCCAAACTTTCTCTCATATTTCTGGTTTGAGTAGTTTCCAAAAAACAAAAATCAAAGGTTCTCGAGCACCGTTTGTTAAATACAACTGCAATAATAATTCACTGTAGCCGTGACGCAGTGTGTTTCACAGGTTAATAAGTCAGTGGTGTTGTCCATGTTGACAAACTCTGAATAGAGCCAAATTGACAAATATAGCCTGGAGGGAATAATCCATTAGTTAATTAGCTGTATGCTGTGTGTTTTTCAAACAAAAGTAAACTCTGTCCACAGTGACACAGATAAAGATGCCATCTGAAGATGGTTTAATTCCTTTCACAAACAGAATCCAAAGATGCCAATCAGCTCAAAAAGAAAGAAGGCTTTTTATTGCCGCGTGGCTGTTCACAAGTTTGACCTTCTACCTCGATTCAAACACACCGACCTATAAACCACAGCAGGAAACCTCTTCCAGGAGCGGAAGGCTGCCACATTCTCCAGCTCCTTGTCAGTGATCCAGGCTGGCACCAGGAGCTGCTGAGGATAGCTGGGGCAAAGCCTGGCAGAGCAGATGGGAGAGGGAGAGCAAAAAGATTCAACAAAAACAAAGTGGGAGCACCAAAGGGCCGTGGTGGCTCAACTAAAGTCTCAGTCTACAGACACCTAATCCTGGGCCGGGCTCTTATCAGCCCAGGGTGCAGCACCAGTGGAGTACAATAACACAAACACCCACTGTCTAACACACACACACACCGACTTGTGCCGTTTGCCAATAAAAGCAAAGAACTGATTTATCTTCTCGCTGGGAGTGATGGGAAATAAAAACAGCAGCAGGCATCCTGAATGAGAGCCATTACCTGAACTTGCTGTTGATGTCAGATATCCTCCAGGCGTTCTGTGTGTCAAAGCCCATCCTCTCAACCTCGTTCTTGAACCAGGAAGTCACGTGTTCGCCTACAGAGAGCGGAGAAGTCTGATAAGACCGGAGCGGGGAGCAGAGGTTCTACCGGGGGTTACGCGAGGACGTGCGAGCGATAGTCGGGTACCTGGTCTGCACAGCTCGCCGGGCTGCTCCTTCTCGCCAGCGTACACCTCCATGCACCAGGCGTGGAAGGCGAAGGAGAAGAGGTTCTCCAGGCGAGAGGGAGGGCGCACTACTGCATTCAGGCGTTTCAACCATTCCTGACACTGCTCAAAGGTGGAGAACTGACACCTGTGGATCAAACGCAAAAGCCATCATTACACCTGGATCAAGCTACAACATATTATCAAAGCGCAGGGCTGCTACTTCAAAATTGATATCTACTTCTGAAAAGACGGGTGAAGTGAAGATAGTGCTGGCGGTACCGGTTACCAACAGGCTCGGTAGCGAGTAGTATTTTACTATTTGTAGAATTAGATTCCAGTCGTGGCTGCAAAGGATTGTTTCCAACTCCTGTGATCCAAACCTTTCTTATAACTCTCGAGCATTGTTGAGTTTAAAATGAATTAAGAAAAGATAATTCACATCACGTTTTTAATCGAATGAATATTCTGCTTCAATCCATATCTGTTGGCGGTTACTCTGTTTCACTGCACACAAAGGGAGGTGCAAGCTATATTTTCATGTGAGAAGGTTGATTTATTAAGAAAACTCCTTTAAATCCAATGAATCGCTTTATTCAAATTGAGGATTTCGTTAGAGTTTTTTAAGGGTGATGATGTCATATGACGGCAGACATTCAAAGCTTTATTTGAAAACCTGAATAGAAGCTTGGACATTTAAAAAAAAAAAAAAAAAAAAAAAAAAAAAAAAAAAAAAAAAAAAAAAAGACATTCGGTTCAGCTCTAGTTGTTTAATCACCTACATTGTACCATTCTTATTTTCTGGTTCAGACGCTGGGTTTTAAAAAGGTTTGGCAGTTTTTGTCCACATTGGATCACTGCTATCACACGAGCTTCACCTTTCATGTGTGATTAACACTAATTAGTCAACTGTGATTAGCGTTGACAGAAAGGGACTTCGCCCAACGCGTTGAAGGGAGACGGACTGCTCGGATATGAACCAGTACAGTTGATGGATCTTTCCACCGTGCTACTGACGGTAACAAACAAACCTCATTCTGTTTCTTGGTGAAGCTGCTCTGTTGGTTTCAGGTAATTCTGGGCCCATCTTGGTCAAACACACAGTTTATAGCTGGAGGATTCCTCCGTTACCTTTGCAGTGTGTGCCATGTTTAAGTGGTAACCATAGCAACCTACTCGTCCTAATTGTAACACCTAAACCATCCTGCGTCTGGACTGCTGTGAGAAATGTCAGAATAAACGCTGGTGATTGAAAGTTATTTGGCATTTTCCTACTTAATTCAAGTTCCCTGTACCTTTAGCAAAGAGGATGTTATAGTAGGAATGACTTTAGGTTGAGGAGGGTATCACTGGTCATACCTGACGACTTTACAGTCCTTACAGGTGACGTGGAGCTGGAACATATCCCGACACTCCGCGCTCTCTATGAGCTGAAGAGGAACCTGTGTGGGGGGGGGGGGGGGAGAGAGAGAGAGAGAGAGAGAGAGAGAGGGAACATCAACTCTACACCCAGTCAGACTTTAAACAGCACAATGAATACGTTACGGACCCAAACGCATGCAGTCAGTACAAGTAGTGTGGCAGATTGCAACTGACAATCCATTTAGTAAATTAGTGGTAGTCTACGGAGAAACTCCTTCACGCAAATAATCAGCAATTTCACGTTTTAATTAAAATATTTAATTGTATGAAAAAAAAAAAAAAAAAAAAAAAAAAACACCTTTCAGACACATGCTGCTAAAACTATACAAGTCACACAGATTACTTGTCCAGGTGCATTCCCATTAATTTTCCCGTCACATCACTCTGAGGTCTGTTAATGTACATTATCTTCTTAACAAAAAACACCCAACACTAGATCCAGAGGAGCCTGTATCTGGATTTCCCGTTCAGCCCAGAGCTACAGTCTTATCTTTAATAGGCAAATATTATCCAAAAGTACAAAACTGTCATGTGCTTATGACTAAGAGCATACTTTGAATACTGCAGGGAAATACCTATGCTGCTTTTCACTAAGCTCCGTTAATTAGCAAAAGAGCGGTGTTCAGCAGCGCAGCGGGGTTTCATAAAAAGGCTCAAGCTGCCGTTCACACACAGTCCAGAGCCGTGCACCATCGGCAGCCAGTCAATTAGCAGGTCAGTCGCTTAAGATTGGCACCTTCGATGCTTGTGTGGTTATATTTTGCCCACCATATTTTTGCACCTGGTGCTAAAACAGGATGAATGATCAGGATTCTACTCCTCCAGCCGGTTAACACACAGGCACACACACACAAGTTACACACACAAGTCAACCACTCCACGTCGTGCAGCTCTGCCGAGTACTTACTGACACCTCACAACAACAACAACTCTATCCAAAACAAAACAGAGAGAAGTTCAATGTAAGTGGTGCACGTTGATGAGGGGGCTTCCGGATGTTTCGAGCATCCTGCTGCCACAACTTAATTCCTGCCCTCTAATCTACATCACAACTCCTCTGCTGCTTGTTAGCAGCCTCTCGCTCTCTGGCGGCACCTCCCACCCCATATGTGCGAGCTCTGACAACTCTGTGATGCATGCAGATGCCTCGTCAAGCCGTCCAAATATGTGTGAAGTTGGCTCTGCTCGTGTGACCATAGGGAGGCTGTGTGTGTGAGCCAAGAACCACGGGGCTCATTAAGGTCCAATTAACCTCTGCAGAACCTGACGGGCAGCCAGAAGACAGCAGGAAGCAGTCAGATGGATGCAACCACCAGAACCACTGCATAAATCCTAGACATATGAAGTTTTCATTAACTTAACAATTACATGTAATCATATGGATCAGTTTGAGGAAATGACAAAATTTGGGATTTGGTACTTGTTCCTGTTTTCAATATGGAAACGAAAATCTTTTTCATACCTTACCTGAAGGGATATATACAAAACAAAAGACTCAGATGGTACATGTTGAACTCAAACAGCTGCACAATAACTTTGCTTTCATGAATCAGGGTAAAAGTATTTTAGTTTGTGTTCTATTTAGTCTGGTTCGGCTTCACAGTGCACAAGTTAAAGCCGACCAAATAATGTAATAGCAGGGACAAAGTTTTTTTCCCCCTAGAACTCGGACAAACTCCTCCTCCAGTTTATCTCAATGCATCTATAAACATCACTATTTTTGAGGACAATATTAAACATATTCTGTATGCTCTCTTTGGCCAGATGGTAGGTAAAACCTACTTCAGCCTGACTTGACTGAAGAAGTCTAGGTCAGACCCCTCCCACTTGGTTTTTACCTGTTTCAATCTTAACAAACACCTGCACAGTCAGCCCTCAATCACCTGCATTTTGGTTCACTTCCTGCAATTGTATCCGATTGTGTTCCCACTGCAATCAAACAGCGTTAGGGTTCAATTAAAACAGACTAAATGTTGGTTTGTGAAAGTGTCCTAAAACTGTCAAAGTTTTGATTTAAACCCGGGCTGGATCCGGATCTGATCTAAGAATAGTTTTGAAATCTAACCAAACCCTAATGGAAGATGTTGGTACTTGACAGTTTTTAATTGTTAAAGACACATTTCAGTCAGTACCAACAAGAGATTGAGGTTTGATAAACATTACTTTTAGCTTTACTTTTCTTATGGTCATCAAATCCCATGAAAAGACTAAAACCAACATGTTGGGCCGTCTGTCAATACTTTCTGGCTCTGGGAAGTTTGTCGATAGCTGTCAGCCCCATTCATTCTTACTGACACAAATCCTTAAAAACTGGTCACAAATATATAATTCAGTAGAATAGATGGGGATTGTAGCTTTTAGCAATTGTAACTAAAGCAGGAGGAAGTTCTGTGCACTTCCTGAGACTATTTAGAGCCCCAGATTGTGTGCACTATTGTGCATTTACAGCTGCAGGATGGCGTATGTGGAACAAATAAACGACACTAGTCGTGTTGTAATGTAAAGTAAAATGTAACCCAGTGCAGTGTCTCACTGTTTTAGTCACTTTGGAACAACACAGACAAAACTTGTTGGTCTTTTCATGGGATTTGTTGACAATAAGAACACTTTTGAATATCACCAGACGGAAGGAAGTGAAACAGCCAGAAGCTTTCCCCATAGCTCATGATTTGTCGTTGCACAACTTTGCTGCTCACACACGTCAGAGAGCAGATTGGTGATCTGAACATAATGTGCTTTTCCAAAGACATTTGGAGTGAGCTTTCTTTGTCAAATTAAGACAAATAATTAGAATAGGATGTAAATAGATTTTGACGGATAGTACAGTTAACATAAGATTGTTTTTTCCCCCAGTACCACTATCCCGTTCAACCCTTCAGTCAACAATATATAGAACAAAGTGGCCACACATGGGCAACAAGGTCAGTCTCTCTTTCTAAACATGGTGAAAAGAGACAGAGAGAGAGAGACACAGACAGAGAGAGACAGACAGAGACAGAAAACGAGAGAGAAAAAGAGAGAGAGAGAGAGAGAGAGAGAGACAGAGAAAGAGAGAGAGACAGACAGAGACAGAGACAGAGAGAAAGAGAAAGAGAGAAAGAGAAAGAGAAAGAGAGAAAGAAGGCGTGACTGTTATGAATCCCCTGTGGAACCACTGCAACCAAGGCAACGGTAAGTGTGGAGAGAAAGCAGAGCGGGCAGCGAGTGTAACAACAGAGGAGAGGCAGTGAGGAGGGGAGGAGAGGAGGTGAGGAGTCACATGTGCTGCCAGTGCAGATCAGCTTTGAATGGTCTGGTCACCACAGCGCTGGCACAATGGCCCCTGACTCTGTCCATTCACAAAGCATTAACACACACACTCTCACCCGGCCTCGAGTGGAGACAAAGTATTTCATTCTTCAGTTATTTAGAGATCTGACCTTGAAGCTCGTCGCTCACTTTTCAAAAGATAACTTACGTTGACAACGGACTCTTTGAACTTGATGTGTAGGCGGTAGTTGGATGTTGCGATGATGGCGTCCTCTGCTCTCCCCACATACTCTGTGAACTCCCCATGCAGCTGAGGAAAGGGCACCTGGCAACAGCAGGAGATACAACATGTCATACAAACACAGCTCACCGGATCTATACACACACACACACACACACAATATATATATATATATATATATATATATATATATATATGGCCATTAGGCTGAAAAACATTAGCGTCTGCAGTACTGAGCAACACAGACATTAAAATAAGCATCTTTTTATTTTTAGATTACAGAGCTTCAGATATCACTTGACTTCTGAGACCGGTCAAACTGAAAGTGAGCTTAAGTCACATGTTGTCACCGTGATTATGTGACTGATTACAAAGGAGAGACTCACCCACGTACAAACACATGACTGCCAGGTTAACTGGTTTTTTTTTTTGTGTTTTTTTTACAGCACAAGATAAGCGGCAACTTCCTCACCTGCATGTCTTGTTCCTCCAGAACGGGGGACTTCTTGGGGAAGATCTGATTGGCCTGGATGCACTCCAAGCTCTGCTGCACCTCCTCCTCCTGCAGAGAAAGAAGGTCAAATAACTCTTTACTGAACTAGTATCCACTTTAACAACCACAACCTTCTTTCAGGCAGATTGTTTTCTTTAGTTTTAATATGGCTTTTAATACATCTGTCCAGGGCCGGCTGAGTAACCCTGCTCCATGTGCATTCACAGCTTTGACAACTAAGCTGCCCAGTAGGAATTGTTTGGGTAGTTAACATTTCACAAAAGATGTCTCAGTAGTCGTTTTGGGGGGGAAATTAAGTGCTACTTCTCCATTTTGTCTAGATTTTCACAGCTTGAATTGGCTTCCACATTAATGTCAGAAGTGTCACACCCCGTGTTGTAACAGGGAGTTGATTTCAAGCCAACTTGACAGGACTGCATTTATGCTGCTTTGCATGGATGTTTCTCCTCCCCGCCCACACTGTAATGTGCAACCCAGGCCAATTGACTATAATCACCCCTTGTGCAACAAGCCACGATATAACAGATGCCAGAGTCGCTCTAAATCTAGCAATTGACATAGTCACTCATTTACACAAGACATGAAATGAAAGGAGAGCCTAAATCAAATGTCTGGTTGGCAAAATCAAATTAGGGACATTTCTTTCATTTAAAGGCAGTTTTCATCAACAGGCTTTCATGGTGGCCAAAATGTTCGAGGTCACGGTAGTCTTATGCAACATATTTCACAGAGGGTGCCCATCGGTGGGGAATGCGAGGCCTGGATATACGAGCATCGTCAGGGATTCTTCCTCAAAGGCAAACTGGTGGGGTGGTGGGGGGGGGGGGGGAATGGCCTTGTGCTGACAGACATCAACAAGAATCTATGGGGCTGTTTGGTCAGGAGAAGAGTTTAGGCCGAACGGTGTGCAAAGAAAGATTAAGGTGGTCGAAAGAGATGGCAGATAACTGACAGCGACAGCTCATGCTGACTCGGCATGAGCCGAGCTGATACACGCAGTGGTCATTGCTGGAGGAGCAGCCGGCTAAGGCCAGCCAGGGGGCAGCCGTCACACAGCAGAATGCCAAGCACACACACACGCGCGCACGCGCGCGCACGCACGCACGCACGCACGCGCGCGCACACACAGTTCAACAGGCAACACACCCGATCCAGTGGTTATATCATGATGCGACAATACAACACGAAAAGCTGCCCTGCTTAGACAGCAGCCTTGAAGGACCTTTGATACTGTTGCAGCTGATTTGACTGTCTGCTCCCTGGTAAACAGAGCTGATTGAAAGGGAAAATCAATGGAGAGTTTCCGATTCTGCAGAATGCATCCAGGTCCACGGGACCCACAGCAGTTACTGTCCGAAGCATGCATGAGCTGAAAGGTACTTTACCATGGCCCCTGCGAAGGAGTGTGGGTCACCCAACGAGGATCTGCTGCCTGGACCAGTCTGTACAGGAGGAACACAGAATGTTGAGAGATGTCAATCATATATGGGGCACAAAGCCATCATCCTCTTATATGTGGTCTGATCACAATTTAATAAATAAAATTCATTATCAAAATACTACATTGGCTATTCTGTCTTGTTATCTGCTATCTGTACTTCTTGTCACACAGCTTATTTTGGGAGGGCATCACTATTGATGACTGGTTTTGAAATTCAATAGTTTTATCTCATAACAAAAGTGTTAATTGACAATCTTGGACAGACGGTTTGCTGAAAATATATATGAAACTTCAAATTAATTACTGTTAACGTTTACATCAACATACAGGGAGATGGTTGTGGTCATGTGGTACAATGTACATACAAGTTTATCTGGGCCTTAGACCCCGACTACAAACTGCAAAGTCATCGATTCGATGACATTACCCATCTTCTCTCTCCACTCATTTCTCTACTGAACACTCTCAAATAAAGGCATCAAAAAGAGCAAATTTTGAGTCTCATCAACCAGATCACTGCATCTACTCCGGATGAAATGAATACCAGGAAATGAGAAACAAAACTAACACCCTTCTCTATACTAACTTGTAGTACATCTGATGGTGTATTTAGACTTCATGCGGACAGACTTTCAAGGAGTTCTCAAGAAAAACAATGCAAGGAGTGGCCGGATTTCGAAGGCTGGTGAAACTGCACAACTACTTTATTTGTGAGATTGCATCAGGATGTGTAAATACTTTCTCAGGGAATGGGTCTAGGCAATGAACTGATTGGGCAGTCATGTTCAAAACATTCAATAGCAAACCAATTCACATGAAAGGACACTACAAGGGAAGGCTTCGGTGAAGCTTATACTCAGTTGCATCAGTTATAGTAAGGAGGGACAAATGTACCGGAGGACACATTTAAAAAGGAACAACAGATGGCTGGAAATGTTATGTTGGTTATGTGATTTAACTTTTAGACTTCAGTTAGACTTACCACAGACAATCAGTAACGGACAATGAGTAGTCCTGATGATCCTGTTTGGAAACTCTCACAAGTAAGACATGGAAATCTGTGAAAATGAAGGCAGATATGCAACTGAATAATAAAGCAAATGGTTTTCCTTACAAACAGCAGACTTTCTCAAGCTACAGAGGCTCTTTTGATTCCCTTGCAAATATAGCTGTACTGGTGGTCAGAGTGGCTCGCATGCGAGCTCAGAGATACCATTTAAACTCAGTTGTGGAATGGAAAAAGGCCAATGGGGTATAGAAGCAAAGGAAATCTACGGTCTAGCCAACATACAGGCATGGTTCAGTCATGCTAACCGGCTATTTAATGTTTACCTTCAAAAAGAAACAAGAACACATTCATGCATAATATACATTTCAAACCCCTGCTGCTAGGTCAACACAAGCTAATGGGAGACATGGTAGATGTACTAGCTTAAAATAAACATTATGTGTGCAGGTAAAGCCAAATTATGTTGATATCATGACAGAATGTCCTTAAAGTGATATCGCCTAACATCTCTTTTTGAATCAGGTAACCTGTTAGAGATCTCTCAGCATACAGGCCCACAAATAGTTGTAAAGGTCAGCTACCCTTGCAGATACTGAAATCTGATCTGAGAGTGTCGGTGAATGAGCACCTCAGCACACCTTTTGGGCAAGATTTACGTTGCCAAAGGGCAGAAAAATTAGACAAAATTCCCACTGCAGAGAAGTCAGACCAGGACGTGGCGTCTGCTTGTGAGAGTGTTGTGAAGTAGCAATGGGGGGGTGTCATTAAGTCACTGACTGACGAGTCCAGCTCTGACTGCTGGTGCTACCTGATAAAGCATATCTGCCACACACACACACACACACACACACACACACACACACACACACACACACACACACACACACACAGCTCTGTTTACCATGACCTGTGTTTATGGCTCAGTGTGGTCCTGAGTTCAGGCTAAACCCCTTAGAGCCTTAACGGTACTCCTGTCCCGTGACACCACGCGTCACAGGCTGCTGCATACGCAAGCAAAATAGCCCCAATCTGCAACCGATGTTAGCAACATTCAAAAAATAAACTGCGTTGACTTTGCTAACTGCAAAAAGTTAGCTTCACTGAATTACATTAACGGTCAGATAGGCACTAAAAAGGATTAACGTTGACGTTAACTTACACAAAAGCATAACGTTGTGTGTTTGGAAATAACAGCGACGTGGGTAAAGAATAAGCTATAACTAGTTATCCCAAAACCGTACTAAACAATTCTGAATCGTCTTACGAGTGATAGCAAACCAAGTGCACTGTAACATATAACGTTAACGTTTTGTAGAAGCCATTTATTAGCAGAGAAAAGTCAGTTAGCTAACGTCAGTTAACTTATGTTAACAGGTTCGTCAGACAAGTTCAAAAAACTAACGTCACCAACATGTCAACATGCAAAAGTAACTAGTTAGCTGGCTAACGTCAACATCACTGATGCCCTTCCTTTTTTTAGAGTAAATTAACGATACCATTAAGCTAGGTTGTCTGCAGCTAACGCTAGCTAACGTCAATAGTTAGCTAAATAGTTAAATTACTGCTAGCAAGCCAACACTTATGTGGATTGAAAGCAGCCGACATTAACGTTTACTGGTAAACAGTGTGGTGTTGTGATCTCATAGTACTTTGGTATTTCCCATTTGTATCTTTGTGGCATAGACCAAGCCAGTAAGCTGGCTAGCTAGCTAACCTTAGCGGGTTTTGCTAGCGCAGCTCTCTGCAAACTGTTTTTGTTGTCATGAGATGGAGGGCGGAACCCAACACGGAGGCCTCTGTCAAACACACCCGAGAAGAACGAGCACAACCGGCGGACTCACCAGAGAAAAAGGAGTGACGAAGAAGTTAAAAAGCCACAGATTCACCCGAAGCCCGTGCAATTACTAACGCAGCAAATAAACCTCGATCGAAATAAGCATTAGTCATATCCGAGCCGAGGCCAGCTTCACTGCGTCCCTCTCAAGCACCGAGCAGTCGTCGCCATCGCCGCGAATTCTTCCAGCCCAAGAACCCTACGTGAGCGAGTGACGTCATCGCGTCAGAGTCAACCCTCTGGGCGAAGGGGGAGGGGCCACAAACACGCATGCGGTACGATCATGTAAACACTGGCCTCGACTGTGAATACAATGGACGTGATTTAGTGTTTTGTAAATCTAGTGACTGCTAATTAAGCAAACAATGTGGAAAAGACTAACTGCTCTAAATATACAAGGATATATCATGTTTTAGATGAATATAGTATGTGTTAGAGGACAGTAAGGTTTTATAGCGGGCTTTGGCATTCATTTAATTGCATTTATCTGTAGTGTGGGTGTTCCTCGCTATAAAGAAATAACACAACACAGCAGGATCTTAAACAATTATGTATTGAATGATGGCTTACATATGCAAATTCATTTCAAAGAGGCTCGGCATACCTTTGTCCATTCTTTAACATTTACTAGCCTGATATTTCAGGGCATTAGACAGTTATTTAAGCCTGCAGGACACTTCTCTTTATTGACTCACAGCTGACTTTCAAATAAAACATTTTCTTTGTGACAAACCCCAAGTGTCAGAGTTGTAAATATTGTTTCTATATTGACAACTCTGAATACAATCATTCAAATGTTGCTATAACCAATTGCCTCATTATTTAGTGACTAATGTCAATTACAAAATAAAAACATCTAATGTGTAGGGCTTTTGTTACTGGGTAACAAAAAGCCCTACACCCCTCTTAAAAACTGCTTTACCACAAGGCATTACTCCTGTGAGGATAATGCATGAGGCATATGATATGGCACAAAATAATCTTGATTTAAGTATTTACCTGAAGGTAAGTTATTGGGTTCGGATTTGACTGAATTCATTGTGACTTTGTGAGAGCCAGATTTATCAGCTGCACCATGCATGGACTTCACTAATGTAAAAAGTCTTTAAGTGCTGATTTAATGTCCCTGTGCAAGAACAACAACACAAAACACAGTCCTATCCCTTGTAATGAGACCAGAATGGATTCGCATGCAAAACAATGAGATGAGCTTTACATGAAGAGATAATGCATTTAAATACATTTCTTTTTCAGTCATATGTCCATGTTACCATGAAAGACAATGAAATCTCCACATTAGAAATGCCACCGCTAATCATACAGTATATTATGCACACAAAAAAATGGTGGTACGAAAACCAGAGAAAAATCTTCTGTGGCTCCAAGAGAAAACCAAAACAGTATTTTAGAGAGCAAAGTCTACTGATCTCAAAATGCAACCCATTAGCCTCATCCTGATAGCTCCAATCTGCACTGTACTTTGACACATCTGTGTAATGAATTACAAAACAGCAACCGCTCTCCCAACAATCCACCACTTGCTGTGAAAGTTGCATTTCCTGTATACACACAACTTCCATAGATCCATTAAATATTTAACGGAGTCATTCTCTACACCACATAATGTTTATCGTAGTCACCACCACCACTGATGAGCGCAACTGTTTCAGTAAAGCTTTAAAAAGCAAGACTACCCTGAGAGAAGGTCTAAAACGTGGGCAAGCTTGCCAGACCAGAACTGGCTTGAATGGGTTTGGTTTATTAAATCTGTACACTCTATTTCAATATAATCAGCACATTTTGTTCCAAGAATGTAAGATATTATTATTTTTTTTTAGTAATCGTGTAATATATATCTCTACATAATACAATCCAAGTTCTCTGAACTATGTAGACATGTGCAAGTGTTTTACTACCAACTTCAACGATACAGTAAAGGCAAAGACTTGTGGACACTAAGTTAGGATAATGTTGATATTTGAAATTTACTTGAGTCCTCACAATTATCAAAATCTAAGTGCTGTAAGTAGTTCATACACGAGGTATTGAATATCTAGTTAACTGTTCTGAGTATAAAATAGAGGCAAAATACATAAAGAACATCTTGCAAGCATGACAAAGAAACTTCTACAGACACGATACACAAGTGGTCAAAGATAATATGAGGGGATACCTGTAACCTTTTGTGTCCTTGAATATAGTCTACTTACAGATTGGATGCTTTCATGTTGATCAGAGGTCATACTGCATCATGCTCTCAGATAGATTTCGCCCACAGGGAGATCAATTCACAGCAGGCAACCTTTCATATCAAACTGCCCAGCTAAACATCAGCTCAGTGCTCAGCGGTTCAGGTGTTTGATCAAGTACGTATATTCTAACTACAATAAATGACCCATTTTGAGAAAGTGCACTCAATCAGGTGTTACCTGTGAGGGGGATCATAATACACACACATATAACGGAATTATTAGCTCCCTATCTCTTCAAACAGCAGCATATTCTTTGTAAAAGACAGATTTTGCTCATTAAAACTCGCCACTTCTGCACGTCCGAGGCATGATACAGAGTACTTTCCCTCCATTGATTCAAATAAGTGTGGGTCATGTTTATGTATAAGAATGAAACGCATGGTCATAGCATGATGTGCATCAACATAATCTGAGGTAAACCAGGTGTGTCTTGGCCTGTTACAGTCTGAGAACCAATGCCTTAGAGGGTCGGAGAGGTAAGTCTGAAATAAATCATGTAAACTGTACTCGTGTGTAGTGAATGTTTCACTTACTACCAAAAGCACAAGGGCCCTAAACTGTAAACCTCAATGATTATACAAAGAAAAAAAGAAAAGAAAACACTAAAAGTACTCTACTCGTTAGATTTAACGTTTCCATTTTTTCATATTTTTTGCAGGGTTTTCAACTTTTTTTTTTTCAGTTGTTTTCGCTCAAGTATAATCACAGGTGACTAACTACAGAGGGTAACAGGGTCAGGTGAGTACCATGCTACATCAGGTTTAGAGAAGGCTATTGCAGACAATTCTACAACATGTACAACCACATTTTATACGTGAGTTACAAATATTTCAAAACATATCACCAAGAAACTAAGTACATACAAGATGTTGAATATTTAGAGTCTTAAAGGACTATCCCTCAGTCAGTATTAGGATTTCATGTTACTTGACTTAAACTGTCCAGTCTTACAGACAAAATCTGAAAAATTGCTATTCAAAAAGTAGCAAATTTGGTCAATGTCTCTTTTCAAATAGTTATAGTGCTTTTAATGGCTTAAGACAGGGGTCTTTTTTTAATCTCACCCAGTGGCAATCAACAGAACTTCAGTGTACATTTTATGACACCATAGCTGCAAAAGTCTTCATGTCAAGTCCAATAGGTAAAACAACAGCTAGTGCTGTCACATATATTTCAAAGTAGTATGCATTATCAAAAACAACAAAAGAAAACAACAAAAAAAACAAATACACAATTATAAATTTTTTTTCAACTCTTCAAGTTCTTGTAGGGAATTCAGCCATATGTTATGTTCTGCGTTCCCATTTCCTATGAGTTATCAGTCTGAGAGGACAGGCCTTCAGGAGCCAGGCTCCGTTCAGGCTTCTATTGGAGACTCTCCTATGTGCCGCGAGGGTCTTCAGCACTAAATACAGTAAAAGGGGACTTAAAACTCCCATTCCAGTGTTTCTTCTCGATTGGCTGCTCTCTCTAGCCTGTGGATGATGTTATTGAGGTTGGCCATTTTCTCATTGCGTCTCTGAGTGCTTCTGTTGAGTTTGGGGCTTTGGAAGGGAGGGAGCTGGTTAGGGTCCAGGCTGTGATTGGTGCTCGTTGAGGGCGGATTGGGCAGCGAGGGCGATATGGGAGCGGAGGAGGAGGGGACGGGGGACACTGACATCATGAGGCCGGGTGAAGATGCAGCAGAGGGGGAGTTGAGGGACACCTCCAGGCTGCTGCGGCAGGGCTCTGACGAAGCCTTGAAGCTGACGGGGTCAACAGGTGACTTCCCGGAGTCTTCCCCCTCGCGCCTGGACTGGATGGTTCTCTGGGGGCCGTCTATGGAGACTGTGCCAGGGTAGAGCCCCTGAGCCTGGCTGCTCATCCCCTCTTCCTGCCTCAGGCTCTGGCCAGCCGAATGGGGCTCGCGGTAGCCAGCGATGGAATCCTCGTGCTCGCTTTTCAACTGTGGGAACTGTACCGCTGTGGAGAAACACTGGACTCTGGACTGTTTCATGGAGCCCTCCTCCCTCTCGTCTTCCTCCTGTTTGACATGAGGCAGTGCGGTGTTGGCGCTAAGAGGAAGGCTGGAGTGGATGTGTCCTGAGAGCTGCTGCAGCCTCCTCTCCTCTCCGTCAGACTGGGGGCTCCGCGTCACTGAGGGGGAGTAGCTGTGGTGCTCGGCATCTGTGTCATTGTCTAGCAGACCCTGCATCAGCACCTCCCGTCGCATCCTGGACCTGCGCACAGACAGACTGTTAGACAGACAAACACTCAAATGTCAGGATATTCAAGTTTTAAATATATATTTCAGGTGTGTAGTTGCAGCTGGAAGTAAATGTATAGTAGTGATGAAAACAAAAGAGGCAGCCATTAGCAGACTATAAAAAGGTCATTGGACTGGCCTGTAGTTGTGGAACCAGTTGATGACGGTGTTTGTTTTGAGTTTGAGCTGGGAGGCCAGTATCTCGATGGTGTTTTGAGAGGGGTAGGGCTCCAGGAGGTAGGCCTTCCTCAGGGCTTCTTTCTCCTCAGCTCCTAGCACCACCCGAGGCTTCTTCACCTGGCTGTAGGGGCACAGGTCCAGCGAGGACAAGGCCGGACTCACACATTCAGAACGAGTGCTAGGCGAGTCGCTGTCCGAGCCGGTGGTCAGCAGCCCGTATCGTCTTTTTAGATAGGCTGAAGGGAAGACAGTGAGATTACGACGTGTAAGGGGATTACAAAACACCAGCACGTTCTCAAACTTGCACTGAAAGATATTACAGTGTACACTCTGGGTCCCCACCTTTCTTCTCCATCTTCTTCATGGCCCTCAGCTTGTCTATGTTGTGTGGATCATTGAGCCACAGCTGCATGCGGACAAACGGCTCCCTGCCTTTCAGGCTGAGTTTGTGCCAGGGTTTGGGCCTGGAGAGCAGGTCAGACACCGAGCCTTGAGTCAGGCCCAGGATGGTCTCCCCGA